CAGGCAACATCCTGGTAAATCTCCTCTGCACCCTTTCCAATGCTTCCTGTAATGCGGCGACCAGAACTGTACGCAATACTCCAAGTGCGGCCACATCAGAGTTTTGTACAGCTGCAACATGATCTCATGGCTCCGAAACTCAATCCCTCTACCAATAAAACCTAACACACCGTACGCCTTTTTAACAACGCTATCAACCTGGGTGGCAACTTTCAGGGAGCTATGCACATGGACATCGAGATCTCTCTGCTCATCCACACTACCAAGAATCTTACCATTAGCCCAGTGCTCTGTATTCCTGCCATTAGCCCAGTACTCTGTATTCCTGTCTTCCTCCCCCTCTGCAGCATGAATAATAAAAAAACATCTTCCAGCTCCTTTCACTTCTGAAGGAGAGTCACACTAGACTTGAAACATTGACTCTGTTTCTCTCCGCTGATGCTGCCAGACCTGCTGAGTTTCTCTCGTGTTTTTATTTCAGATTTTCAGCATTCGCAGTATTTTTTATTTATTTTAATGGAATAGTCTTGGTGCTGCAAGGACAGAGAGATTTGGTTATAGAGGATTACAGGACTTTAAAGGCAGTACTCAACTTTGAAGAGGTCATAAAAGGCCAATGGCATGCCAGGTTTTAAGTGAGAACTGTGGAAAATAAAGACCAAGATTTTAGTGACTTTAATAAGTCCCTTATAGTCCTTAATGCCATTGGAAGATTTGAGAAGGTGTCATGCAGATTCGCTAGTATGCTGCCCTGGTATCAGGAAATAGACTGGAAAACATTGCTGCTTTGATATGAGAGAAATGTAGATTCCAAAATGGACATGATACAAATGGATATTTTTCAATTGGTTGAATGGCGTCAGTACAAGGTTAAATGGAAGAGATTTGGCACAAAAGGCCGGAGAAACTTCTGTCAGAAAGTTGAGGGTGTGCAATCCACTTCTGTAGTTATCAGTTAAAACACAAGCAATATTTTAGGTTACACTGAATAATGTAGGTGGATGAAGGAAGAGGAGTTGAAGGGCTGTTGGGAATGGAATGTGTAAATGTGACTAGAAATGTTTGTTTATGTGGAATATAAGTGCTGACATAAACTTGCTGTTGCTGTGTTATAACTTCACTGTATTTCTGTGTACAGTTATATCTTCCAGCAAAGATGACAAATTATATGTGGGATTTAATTATCATTCAGATACCAGAAATAAATTTGAGAGATATCTGGTGCTGGCAATAATGTTCAATTCGTCTCTGGCCGTGGGTTGGGGGAGGGGGAGGGGGATGTGTGGGGGGTGGGTGTATGCCAGAGGACTGTTGGGCAGCTCCATGTGGTACTATTATTTAATAAGAGAACAGGAAATTACAGGCAGTCCAGTCTAACCTCAGTGGTGAAAAGACTATTGGAAGCAATTCTAAGGTACAGAATTAATCTGCATTAGAATAGGCAAAGATTAATCAAGGACAGTCAGCATGGGTTGGTTACGGGGAGGTCATGTCTGACCAACTTAATTGAATTTTTTGAAAAGGTAGCCAAGTGTGGGGATGAGGGCAGTGCATTCAAAGCAGTCTGCTCAGACCTCTGCAAGGCTTTTAGCAAAGGTAACAGCCCATGAGTTCCAAGGAAATTTGGCAAATTGGATCTACAATTCTGAGAGGCAGGAATCAGAGTCTGAGATAACACAGTGTGGAGCTGGAGGAACACAGCAGGCCAGGCAGCATCAGCAGAGCAGGAAAACTGATGTTTCGGGTTCGGATCTTTCTTCGGAAAGGGTGCCTGAAGAGTCCCGACCCAAAACGTCTGCTTTCCTGTGGGTATTGCTTTCTTAAGCCACTGTTTATTGCCCTTGAGAAGGTGGTGCTGAGCTGCCTTCCTGAGCCGCTGTAGTCTGTGTGCTGTAGGTAGATCCACAATGCCCTTAGAGTGGGAAATGGGATCAGAAGAGCCATAATCTACTTATCAAATGGCCAAATTGAAGTCGCTTTCAGCTGATGATCAAGAAATTTGATGTCATGAGACTTGCAAATTCTGATATATTAGCAACTGCCGTATATGTGGCCATTTAAGAATGTGATGAAGACACTGCATGATGGAGCTGCAGATCCTTTTAGTGTGTATGGTGTAACCACTCTGCAGCAGAGATCCCTTATCCAACGTTTTGGGTCCAGAATAGCTTCCAAATGAATGCAGGACTCCAAAAGAAACCTGCCATCAGATCACTGACCATGTTGAGGACAGACGTACAGGAATAGAATGAGAAAGTGTAGATTTATGGTGATGAAGTGGGCAGAGTTATACCTGTACAACCCAGCAGTCCTGCTGCAATGATTACAGGGGTTTTGGATAGTGTTACTGATCTAGGCAGCTGTTCATTGCATCAGTACCTTGGAAGTGTGTTTACTGACCTAGCACAAACCACAACTACACCCACCTTTTTCCTTGGATGTAGACACTGGAATTCAACAGTCAACCAGTGGGGAAACACTTTGTTCACATTTGGCCTAGAGATAGTTGGCACAATACGCTGATGTAAAACTCAGCACGCCATGCACTGGAAGAGTTGATAATATTTGAGTTCATCAGTTCTTTAACCTGCCAATTTTGGATTCCTGGGACCAGGCTGTTAAAACAAAGGTTCAGGAGCATTGACAGGTGGAGGCGATCCTGTAGTCCATGAGGGTAGCATTAAATGCTTATCATAGAATCCCCAAAGTGTGGAAGCAGGCCGCTCAGCCCATTGAGTCCACACTGACCCCCTGAAGAGCATCCCACCCAGATCTATCCCCCCTACCCTATTGCTGTAACCCTGCATTTCCCATGGCCAATCCACCTAACCTGCACATCTTTGGCCTGAGGGAGGAAACTGGAACACCCGGAGGGAGCCTGTGCCGACATGGGGAGAATGTACGAACTCCACACAGACAGTCATCCACTGTAATGCAGTAATGCTAACAACTGAGCCACCATGCTGCCCATAATTGTGTGGTCAAATAGGTTTTTTTTTCTTTTATTCATTCACAAGATGACAGTGTTGCTGGCTAGGCAGCATTTATTGCCCATCCCAAATTGCCCAGAGGGCAGTTAGAGTCAACCACATTGCTGTGGATCTGGAGCCACATGTAGGCTAGACCAGGTAAGGATGGCAGATTTCCCTCCCTAAAGGACATTAGTGAACCAGATGGGTTTTTTTTTCCCCTACAATTGACAATGGATTCGTGGTCATCATTAGACACTTAATTCCAGATTTTTGTTGAATTAACTTCTA